TTTATCTTCTTACCAAATGATATCGTACCTCTTGATCTTAGATTTCACTCCACTTAAATATGCATCATTGGCTCAAAGTTCTCTGAACTTCAGACCAGCATATTTACCCTGTTTCCCCAAAAATAAGACAGTGTCTTATATTAATTTTTTTCTCCCAAAGTTGCGCTAGGTCTTATTTTTGGAGGATGTCTTATTTTCGGGGAAACACGGTAGCTCCTTGTTGTGCTTCTCCATTCCATGCACATCAGACATCCCTGATATAAGATAAGCCCTTTCCCTTGTGTTCTCTGTTATATTGAGTGCTATTACTAGCTACCAAGATCTCAAGTCAGGAGATTGGGAAGTTTATCCTCATTTATCCCCTTTTCTCTTCCCCTAACCTTAATCAGTCACCTTATCCTTTCTCCTTTTATCTGGATCCCCTCCACTTCTCTGCTTCCTCATAGTCACTGCCCTTTTGCCCACCCCATTTCACTAGACTGGAGTCTTCACCTTCATTCTCACTGTTCTCCATCCCATCCTCCCTTCCCCCCACCAGACAACTTAATTGCTTAAAAGCTCAGTTGTCAGAAATGGCTCCTCATAATCTGCTCCCAAGCCTTACCCTCCGACACTGCTAAGACACTTTAAGTATACACTACTTTATAAGGGGTTCAAATATATCTTTAGAACATAAAATAGATAGATCCTTAATCCCTGAAGTGTGATTCTAAGGACCTGCTGAACCAAGGGTCTGCATTACCCAGGATCTTATTAAAAACCCAGAATTTCAGGTCCCAACCCAGACCTATATCAGAATTCTCATTTTTAAAAAATATTTTTTATTGAGTTTAGAGAGGAAGAGAGAGGGGGAGAGAGATAGAAACATCAATGATGAGAGAGAATCATTGATTGGCTGCCTCCTGCACACCCCTTTCTGGGGATCAGGCCCACAACCCAGGCCTGTGCCCTTGGCCAGAATCGAACCTGGGACCCTTCAATCTACAGGCCCACGCTCTATCCACTGAGCCAAACTAGTTAGGGCCAGAATTCTCATATAACAAGCTCTCCAAGTTATTTATGTGCACACTAAAGTTTGAGAAGCTCTGACTTATAAAATAGGGGTTTTTTAAATTAATGAGTGAAGGAATCAAAGCTAAGGGGAAATCTGATGAAGCCAGAGCTGAAGTAATATTGATAAATGCATGACGTCGAGTGGTCTGTACTTTATTTGGAGGGTAGGAGGTGTAGAAGTACTCTGGTTTTAAAGAAACCAGAAAACAACTGGATGAAGTGATTTTTAGTGTATATAGGTAGTAGACTTATTCTCCCACCCCCTCTCCTTCTTCCTTTTATGTCACTGTGTGATCAAAAAACTTTCTAAGGCCAGACTCTCTGACCTTCCTTTCCAGAGAATGAAAGAACAAGCACTCCTCATCAGCCTCCTGCCCTTCCTTAGTTTCCTGAGGTTTGGTTAGCTGTGGCTGACAGATCAGAGAGCAAACTCTCCTACCCCCCAACCTTTATTCATCCTTCCAGATATTACTCCTTCATCCCTGCCCTCCCCACTTCTGCTGTGTACCAGGCCTTCACCCTGTATTGTAATTGATTAATGGGAGGCAGTACTCAGCTGCGCTGCAAGGCACAGGCTCTGGAATCAGATACAATCAGTTCTGAATTCCAGCTTCCCCGCACTCCTAGAAGATACGTGACTGTGAACCAGTGACTTAATCTCTCTGGGATTTTAGTTTCCTCGCCTGTAAAATGTATTTAGTGTCTTAAACTGTTTAAAAGGTATGGGTGAATTAATATATGGCAGTGAGGTGTACCTCACTTGTCCCCAGCGCCCAGCTGTAAACAGTGACTAGTAAGTCACAGCGATTGCAGGACTCAGAGGGTGGCGGCCAATGAACTCTCTCTCTCCAACTGTTACTGAGCCCTGGGCTTGCTCCATCGAGGGCGGAACCTCACGTTGACTGACGGCCGGTGGCCCGCCCCGGGCGTGACGTCAACCAAGTGTTGTGGCTGCGGCCGCACGTGGTCAGTAGAGTCCGCCTCCGACTCTGCTGCGCTCCGCGTCTTCCGCACCAGCCGCTTGCCTTCCTGCTCCTCTCGCTCGCTATGTCCACGTTCACGAGCTGCCCGATTCCCGGAGGCAGAGACCGGCTGCCCGACTGCTACAGCACCACGCCGGGGGGCACGCTGTACGCCACTACCCCGGGAGGTCAGCGGGCCGGGCTGGGGTCCTCCGGGCGCGGGGCGGACAGCGCAAGTGTGCTATGGAGGGCGGGGGTGGGGAGGTTCGGACTCTGCTGGTTGTAGCTTGGGGAAGGAAGAGGAGGGCGGGTGAAGCCCAAACCTAGTTTCCGGGTGACTGGGGCTGAGATCCTCACTGGCCTGAGTTTTGGGCACTTTGCTTACCCGCTCCTCCCCTCTTTGCCACCTTGGAGGCCGAGGCCCCAACTGAGGGTGGCCTCAGCAGGAATCGCCAGGTTTTGCAAAGTTGCTGGATCAGGCCGTCAGTTAGGGGTATGGACTTCGGTGTATCTGTGGCTGGCTGGCTAGCGGCTGTTGGATTGCACAAGCAGCCTGGGATTATGAGCTGCTGGGCTTCCCATCCAGGGGTTCCTGCCACGTGGAGGCTGAGGGGAGGGTGGAGAACAAGGGCAAGGCAGGGCCCTTTGAGGACAAGATTAGGTGCCAATTTCCTTTAGGCTGGGCTGAGCCTGATAGGACTTGGGAGGGGTCAGGATAAGTACAGCATGTTCTTGTTTTGCGCGGAACACAGCTCCTCCCCACAGGATATCAGAGCCCAGGTGCCACTGGGTGAGCCGCCTTCACATCTGTTACTTGATTTCCTGATCCAACTAAGGCTGAAAGTCTAGGCCCCACCGTGTGAAACAGCAGTGAAGTTGCAGAGCCAGAGAAGAGCAGCCTGAAGTACCTGAGCTCCAAATTGGTTCTCCTAGAGCCAAAATCTGAAGCTCCCCTAAACCAAAAGCTCCTGCCTGGGCCAGCTGGGATGGCCCCCTTGCTTAGCCATATCCTGGTTAAGCCTGGAAATCTTCAAGTGCTGTGAATGCTCATCAGCTGAGATCCGGTGGACTCCAGGGCAGTAGCCCTTTAAAACACAAGGAAATGTGACCCCCAAGGTCCCTAAAAGGCCTTTCCAGGGCCCCAGACAACTCTGTACCCAAGCTCCTGCCTCTTACGTAGCCCCTACCCCTTGACAGGCACCAGGATCATCTACGACAGAAAGTTCCTGCTGGAGTGCAAGAACTCACCCATTGCCCGGACACCCCCCTGCTGCCTCCCTCAGATTCCCGGGGTCACAACTCTTCCAACAGCCCCATCCTCCAAGCTGGAGGAGCTGAAGGAACAGAAGGAGACAGAGGAAGAGATAACCGGTAAGGAAAGCAGGAACTGAATTGGCCAAAAGCACTGGTGTAGAGTGGGGGCTCGAGTTTGAGTGGTTTCTGCACTAAAGCTGAGCCTGCAGACCCTCAGCCCAGCAACCAGTCCTGCCTTTTCTCTCTCCAGATGACGCACAATTTGAAATGGACATCTAATCCAGTCCAGATGACCCGTGTGTGGAGTTACAGGAATCCCTCATGCCGCTGCTGCCACCACCTCTTCCTGGGGTATCCAAAGACCAGCTGGCCTCATCTAATCTGGGAGTGCTTGACTCTGGGCTTTACTTAGTTCTGAGGCAGCTAGACCAAGGATAAGGAGTGGGCACCTTGCCAAGCCCTTAACTCTACTTTCTGTTCGGTTTGTAGGCACTCCTCCCAACCCCAGCCCCACACTCAGGCTGAGGTGAGGACTGGGGAGAATGGAGTATGTCACTTGTCTCACTGCTTAGTAAATATTCAAAGAAATGCCTCGGCTCCAATGTTCTCAATGCTTATCTTCCCATCTCAGCCACACAGCGGAGGGCCCCAGCAGACCTGGTTAGGATCAGAGGTCCCAGTTCCTTCCCAATTCAGATGGAACCCGCTTCTATAAGCAATTAGAGCCTGTGGCAGGCTATAGGGGCAAGCTATAGAAGCTACCAACTCATAAACAGCACTAGCCTTACCCTTGCCAAGGGCTGTTCCAGCCTTTCCAGGAAGCAGCCTTCCTAAAATCAGGCCTCTCCAATTACCCCTCCCTTGTCTGTACCAAACCAGGGGGGGAAAAAGAGGCAATGCCCTAACCTTTTAGCCTTCTCTGATCTCTCCCCATGTCTTTTCTGCCTCCCAATATTCTTATTCCAAGCCTGTTCTAGACCTCACAAGCCCCCACAACCTGACTCTGTTATCTTCAAAGAACAGACCTCAGAACCCAATTGAGGCCCAAACTGAGGCAGCAGCTAATTCCTAGTCATAAATATATCCCCCTCTCCCAAGAAAAGATGTCACGATCCCATATCTCAGGAATCTGGTCTTTTTCTCCTCCAATGTATTCAGCTATGTTCTAATATCTGATCCTAATCTCCATAGCACTTGTAAATCTCAAGATGATACAGTGCAAACAAGGCAATCTCCTTTTCTTGAAGGAAAATGCTCCCCATGCTATTTGAACCTCTGCTCTCATGCTGAAATGAAATCATACAAAGATAGGGTTACTCAGCCCAGCAAGGGATATGCATTTAGTTCTGATTTGGGAAAAAGTGGAGGACAGTAATCTGGTCCTGCCTAGTAAGGCCATTCATGATGAATGGAGGAAGAGCAGAACTTTGTAGGGTGCAGAGAGAGAGGGCAGTCAAGGACACCAGAAGTGACCACTTTGGCATAAGAAGGGTTTATCTCCTAACCAGGGCCCACAGTGAGATGTTTTTATTGAAACATACGTTAGGAATAACAAGTGACCACCGACCACCCTGTGGCCTAGATGGGACCTCTTCCCCCAGAGTTGGGTCAGGCCAAGGAACCCAACAGGGCAGAGAGTCTCCCAAGTGCTAAGAGGAAGCCACGTGAGACAAGGCCTCCCATGCCAAGGCATAGGAGATGGTGCGAGTTGAGTCTGGAGAACCCATAGGATTATGGATCCTGTTCTGGTACAGTCTGGTTCTCGGCTGTGGCTGCAGTTTTGTCTTCATTAGCCTCCTCCTCTGAAGACAGACTCCTCTTTTCTGCAATTAATCTTTTAACTCCCACCATCCACTGACTGACTTCAGTCACATGGTCAACCATGAGTGAGCGGTGGATGTCATCTGCTGCGTCCCACTGGTGGCTTAAAAGCTCTGAGGGGAGAGAGAAAGGCTGAGCAAGCAGTCTGGGGCAAAGACAGCTCCCACTCCTCCCCTCAAAACCTCACTCCCTTTCCAGCTCAGCCAGCCACGCAGGATAAGGCACCGATACCTCGCACCAGCAGCGCCATCCTCTTCTTCACAGGCGTGGACAGCTTCCCTCCAGCCCACTGTTCTTGCAGCAGAGCCAGGCGTCGGCTGATGTCATCACATACCTGCTTCTAAGAGACAGAAAGCACTGCAAGTCAGTGCTGCCACAACAAAGGCAGAGAAACCTAGCACCACATAGGAAGCACCTGCTTTCTCTGGCCCAGGAACTTCTTTACACTTAATCTTAGCGTTCTGGTTCTTTACCCAAAGATTAGCGGCCCACTAAGAATTTGATGAAACTTATGGATATTTCCAAGAAAAATGCATGTAAGGCATTCTCAGACCTCAAAAACTCACTTTACAGTGCTTCTTTACAAATAAGGAAACTAAGAATCAAATGGGTGAAAATTATTATGCTACTTCAAATCCCTTGTCTCCAGATAACTTAAGAAACTATAGATGGCAAAAGAGGGTTTCCCCTCTCTCCAAGTGCAAAATCAGCAGGGCTTGCTCTGAATGGCCTAGAGGTATCATAATCAGGCTGTTTATCACTAATGGGAATTAAATTCAACTTTCATTCCTACAAGCCTCTTCTGACTGGTCTTCCGAAGTGTCTTGAACCCTCCTGAAACACTGTGTTTACTTTTCTGGGAAGGCCTTAGATTCCAAAGGAGTTCATAACTTGAAAGGGTTAATAGGCACTGCCCTTAGGATCACAGGGTCTACCTCTGGGAGCCATCCTTGCATCTGGCTGTCAATAGGAACCCTCCCCATCACCCCATCAGAGTGCCAGGACTTACCTTTGTGTGGCCACGACAGTCATCCAATGCCTGTTCCAAAGGTTTCAGCACATCTTCCAGCAGAGTCTCACAATCAGTGACTGGAAAATCTACGGGATCCACAGTGGAGACAGGACAACTTCCCACTGGGGGCCTAGAAGGTGTACTTGAAGGAGGTGGAGGCCCCACTGGGGAGGGCCCAGGAGAAGTCTCTGAGGGGGGGACTGAAAAGGTAAAGCAGGATCAAACAAACATAGGCATAGTTGCTGAAACAGTCTGTAAGAAGCTCAACTCTCTGAGACAACTCATTCATTGAAAAATAAGTATTTATGAAGTCACTACTATGTGCCAGACAATGTGCGAGGCACCAGAGAGAGAGAGAAATAAACTAGGCAGATTAGGTTCCTGATCTTAGAGAGCTTGAGGAAGTGAGGGGTAGTGGGGACAAGAAAAATCACCAAATTGTGTTGCGTGCTACAAAGAAAATAGATCAAGTGAATAAGGAATAGAGGGACCTACCTAGAAGGGCACCAAATTTTATCCCAGCCCACCCACCATGTGACATTTGGCAAGTTACTTTTAACCTGAGCTTGGGTTCCTCTTCTATAAAATGGGGATATTACCATAATAGCATTTATTTTACAGTTTCAGTGATGATTAAGAATATAGATACAGGCCCTAGCCGGTTTGTCTCAGTGGATAGTGTCAGCCTGCGACTGAATGGTCCCCAGGTTTGAGGGGCAAATGCCCGGGTTGTGGGCTTGATCCCCAATAGGGGGTGGGCAAGAGGAAGCTGATCAATGATTCTCTCTCATCACTGGTGTTTCTAGCTCTCCCTCTCCCTTTCTCTTTGAAATCAATAAAAATATATTTTAAGAAAAGAATATAGACACAGCTGCTAGATAGTGTGTAGCAAAAAAAACACAAAGAACTAATGGATGAGATAGATGAAGCCATGAAAAGTTAAAGGAAACATACTAGAGGTAAGGGCAGTGCCTAAGAGGCAGGAAAAGTAAAGTATTAATTCTGTATGCTCTGAAAAGTTGATGAGAATAGGTCAAGAATAGAGACAGGGACACCAATTGGGAGGTTAATGGAGTAGTGGTCCTGAAAAGAGAAGCTGGCATGGACTCGTGTGAAAAACGAGAGATGAGGGAAAATGGAGTGGTCAGATTTATTTAGGAGGGAATCACAACAGGACTTGGTGTATTAGGGGTGAGGGAGAGGAGTCAAAGATGACCTGGTTTCTGACTTGAGTAATGGGATGGTGGAACCACTACAGAAAGACTAGAGGAGAAAGGTCAAGAATTTAGTCTTAGGCATCGACATCCACATGAAGGAGGTGGAAGCCCATTCATTTATTTATTTATTGGGGGGAGGAGGGGCTCAGAAGAAATCTCTGAGATGGAGACTGAATAATTTGGCATCAATTTCTTGACCTCCTCACCTTCAGTGATCGTTTTTTCCACCCTACCTTGGCCTCTCATTTCCCCTCTGCTGTGTTCCCAACAACACTGAACCATCTCCAGAATCTGATCACCACTCCTACCCTTCCAGCTCAGCTACTCAGATTTAAGCATACATTAAAATCACTGCCTTATAAACACTCTTAACTCACTTAACTGTCCCATTTTCCTGGTAAACACAACTTGCCTACACTTGCTGGGAGGAAAAATAAAACCATGCTGAGGAGTTAAGACTTTAAATCCCATGACTACAGCCCTAGCTGGTTTGGCTCAGTGGATAGAGCATTGGCCTGTGGATTGAGGGGTCCCGAATTCAATTCCAGTCAAGGGCATATGCCTGGCTTGCTAGCTCAATCCCAAGTGGGGGGCGTTCAGGAGACAGCCAATCAATGATTCTCATCATTGGTATTTCTATCTCTTTTCCTCTCTGAAACAAATAAAAAAAAAATTTTTAATTTAAAAATAAATCTATGGCTACAGATTCCAAAAGGTATCCAATGCTGTTTGAAAATCCTATTCTGCTCATTTTTCCACTCTTTGAAACAAGTATTTTCACATCTTACCTCTAAACTTTTTACCCTGCCCCGTTCTTTACCCTTCCCTGCTGTCTCTACTTCTGATCCTGCCTCATATTTGACTGAGAAAGTAGTCATTCAACAGGAGCTCTTTTATTCTCACTACCAGTTCTACTAACCCACCCACATTAGTGCCACTTTCTTCCTCTTTCAATAGATGAAAGGTCCCTGCTCCGATCAGAGGCCATCTCTCTAGCTGAACTCTGTACCCAGCCTCTTGCCTTCTGCAATTATCCCTTCTCCTGCACCATTAGTTCTCCTCCTCAACTGAACCATCCTATCTGCATACAAACACCAATGTATACTACCTTAAATACCCCCCTTACCTCAAAATCCATCTTCGGGTACCCACCCCCTTTCTCCTTTCTGCTTCAAGCAGAATTTCTTGAATGAGTGGGCTAGAGTTACTTCTCTTGCTCTTTTCACATTCTCTCTTCATCCCATCTCAGCAGGGTTTCTGCTCTCATCACTCCACATACTGCTCTTAGGGTCATCAATCATCATCTAGTGATTCCTTTTCTTTTATTTGATCTCAGCAGCATTCATCACATCAAGATTTTATTCTCTGGCCTGGCTCAGTGGCTGAGCATCCAGCAATGAACCAAGAGGGCATGTGCCCAGGTTGTGGGCTTGATCCCTGTAGGGGATGTGCAGGAGACAATGAATTGATCTTCCTCCGTGTATATTCCTTTCCCTTCCTGTCTAAAACAAAATCACACCACAAAGATTTTACTCTCTCCCAGAATAAATTTTACTTTTCTTCCTACTTCTTTGGCTATTTCTCAATCTCCTTTGTTAATTCCTTCTCTACTCATTCTTGAAATGCTACAGAGCCTTAGGGCCTCTGTCCACACACTTTCCCCAGGTAACTTAGTCAAATCTGACATCAAATCCGATCCATACGAGATGGTGACTCATTTCTGTAATTCTGGGCTATACCTCTCCCCCAAAACGGCAGCCCAAATTTAACATGGCCAAGACAGAAAGCTTGCTCCCCCGTCCCCTACCCCCAACCACTGTTCTCTAGTCAATGAACAATATCAGCCAACTCCTCAAGCAAAAATTCAGTTACATCGATTCTTCTTACCCTCACCTACTCACTCCTACTGACTCTCCACCACATCCCATATCCATCCAGTTCCTAGCACCTCTAGTGCTCCCATCCTTATCCGTCATTAAACCTTGCCTATGTTACCATAATAGTCTCTAAATTTTCCAATTCTTCCCTAAATTTTTCTGCACAACATATACAGTGATATTTTTAAAATGTAAATTAGTCGTTGATTCTCAGTCTGGGAAAATTATGCCTCCAGGGTAAAGATACCAATAGTTGTCCCAACTAGACGGGTACTGCTGGCATTTAGTGGGCAGAGGCCAGGGATGCTGCAAACACCCTACAGTGTACAGGACAGTTCCTTACCACAAAGAATCAGACGGCCCAAAATGTGATAGTGCCAAGGTTAAGAAATCCTAATTTCCATCATTCCTCGCCGAGAGTTTAAACTGGCAAGTTGACAAGTTCAGTACTGGAAATAGAGGGGCGCTGAAAGAGCTGCATCTGAGCCTCTTCCTCAGGGGCACACCCCCTCTATTGGCATGGGAACTGCTCAGGGGAAAAGGCAGCCCTCTTCCATTTTAGTTTTCAATAGCTTCCAATTTTACATAGATTAAAATACAAACTCCTTATCCTGGCTTACAAAACCAACAATGATCTGGCCCCTACCTGCTAATCTCTATCCCTAGCCCACTGTGCTCTAGCCAGTCTCTGAATTTGCCAGATGTGTTCTCCAGGCCTTTGCACTAGCTGTTTCCAATGCCCGGAATGCTCTGGCACCTGATCTTTGGGTGGATAGCTCTTAATCATCATGCAGATTTCAGCTTAAGTGTCAGACACCTTAGTTACCTGGTCACTCTCACATCACTTGTATTTCTCTGCAGAGCCCTTGCCACTATTCATTTGTGTATCTCCAAAACTATAGTGTGGACTCCATGAAAGCAGAAACCGTCCTGTCTTCATTGCTGTCTAATTCGCCCTCAAACAATGCCTGGCTCATAGTGGGTGCTCGTAGATGATAATGAATAACAAGTCAAGTCTGAAATGTTTATTACATAGCCAGGAGAAGATGTAGAACAAACAAATGGATCTATCACTATGGAGTTCTGGGAAGAGATCAGGGTTGGAAATAAAATTTGAAAGTAATGTGAGAGTAAAAACTACATTTAAACCATAGGTCTGATGAGGGCACCTTGGATGAGAGCATAAAGAGAGTATTTGAAACCAACGTACCATTTATTGACCTGGCAGTAGAGAAGGGGCTCAGTAAAGGGCCTGCCCCGAGGCCCTCTCTGGGGCTCCAACCTCTCACCGCGGGACAAGCTTATCCCTGGCACCGCCCATTCTCGGCCGGTCTCTGCGCCCTGGGCCCCCACGCACCTCTGGGGGCTCCATCCTGGGGAGCGGCGACCCTCTTGGTCAGCGGAGTGCGCTTGGGCCCGCCGGCCTGGGTCTGCAGCCCATAGGAGAACTGCGGCGGGTCGTTCCAACCGCGCTCCTTGTTGCCTGCGGGGGTAGGGCGAGTGTGAAGCGAGCCCGGGGGAGCCGGAGGGTCTGCACCCCACGCCGCCGCCGGCCTGGGCCGAAAGCGGGGCCCAGCGCCCCCAGCCCGCCGCCCCACTCACCCGGCTTAACGTAAAGCTCCGCCATCTCCACTTCCGCACCGCCAGCGTGGCAGTGCGTCACTTCCGGGGCGGCCGCAGGCCCGGGCCGCGCCCCTTCCGGCTGGCTGCCAGAGCCCTCCCGGTAGGACTGCGGTTCGGGACCCCGCGAGCCGGCGGGGACCCGGTACCCGCTCTTTAAGGGTCGGGCCCTGATCTCAGGGCACCAAATGGGGCTGTCTTCCAGGAGGCGGCGCTGTAGAGCCCTCCTACCCTCAGTCTCTGGGCTCACAGGTGCTCTCAGGAGCGAGTTTAAACTGCCAGAAGCCCCCGCCCCACGCCGGCTCCGCTGTGGCCCAGCCAGGTAGACTAGAACAGGCCTGTCAAACTCGAGGCGGCCCACAACGAATATTTTTGTGGTTCAGCCAATATAATGGTATGTAAGAAATGTTTTCATTGAAATTTCATAACTTTTTACAATATCCTGTTATATATAATCGATATATACAAAAGCCTAAGCGACCCTCCGACTGGTAACCATGACACTCACTGACCACCAGGGGAGCAGACACTCAGCCAGGAGCTGCCCGGCTGCAGTGACTTGGCAGCTCCGTTCTCAGGTGACGCTCCCAGAACCAGAGAGGAGGGAGCCCCATTCAGGAGTGCCTCACTGGAGAACTGCCCTCTCACAATCCAGGACCCCCCCTTGGAGGATGTTAGAGAGCTGGTTTCAGCCCCATTCCCAGGCCAAGGGACCCCACCGGTGCACAGGCACCCGGCCTCTAGTTATTAATAACGAACTACAACGTTCACTAATGACAGATTACTATAATCGTGTTGCATTCATTTCCCTTATGTGCCTTATGCACTGGCACAGCATTTATCTCCACTAATACTAGCAGCGAATATTTTAGCAGCTAATTGCCACCTCATTAGACTTGTACTGACTTGTTTGGTGTGCGCAACAGGAAATACTTAACTTTTAGAGAACAAGAAAAATATTTGTGCTACACTTATTAGTTTGTGCAGTTATTCGGTGGTAAGTTAATATTCAATAAAAAAATATTTTTTAAAAATGTTCTTATTTTAGCCCTGGCCGTTTGGTTCAGTGGGTAGAGTGTCGACCTGCAGACTGAAGGGTCCCAGATTCAATTCTGGTCAAGGGCACATGCCCGGATTGTGGGCTTTATCCCTTTGTGGGACGTGCAGGGGGCAGCCAATCAATGATTCTCTCTCATCATTGATGTTTCTATTGGTATCTCCCTCTCCCTTCCTCTCTGAAAAAATAAAAACATATTTTTTAAAAATGTTGATGTTAATTATTTATTTCAGCCCTTTGCATTCAGCACGTCTCTATCGAAATGAATCTACGTTTCTATGGAAGTTGAAGCTTTTGTTTGTTTGCAGCCCTTGTAAACTTAAACCTTGTCTGGCCCGTGGTAGCCTTTGAGTTTGACATGCCTGCTCTAGAACCTCATCTCTGACCACTGCCTCGACATCAGCGGTTCTCAACCTGTGGGTCGCGACCCCTTTGGGGGGTCAAACTACCCTTTCACAGGGGTCGCCTAAGACATCCTGCATATCAGATATTTACATTACGATTCATAACAGTAGCAAAATTACAGTTATGAAGTAGCAACAGAAATAATTTTATGGTTGGGGGTCACCACAACATGAGGAGCTGTATTAAAGGGTCTTGGCATTAGGAAGGTTGAGAACCACTGCTCTACATGTATACTCTAGGCTTGATTACTACTACAAAATTCCTTCAGTGCTTAAGTATCAACTCATCAGGAAGCCTAGTATATCCAGCTTCAGGCCAGCTTGTCTCGTCTGAGCTCCCACAACCCTCTGAGATTTCCTAGTTGTACTATACACTATTTTCTGTTTTGTTGTTCTTCCTCCTTGTTAGTCTCAGAAAGTGGAAACCCTGCATTATCCCCAATGCTTAGTTTAGTGCCTGGGACAGAGAAGACATTAGCAAATATATTTATTGAATGAAGTCAGATTTCCATCACACCCATGCCCTCATGTGACTATAGGCAGCCACAAACAGCACGCACGGATACAGACACCCACTTCACACAGGTTAACCCCCAACCCTGTCCCAGGTCCAATATACTCACACCCAGTGAGGTCACTGAGGGGTTTTTATTCGTACTTACTTTGCTATAAAGTGTTGCTGAGGTAGAGCCAACTGTCCAAAGCTGGCAAGGAACACAGGGACCCAGGGAAAGGAGAGCCGGGGTCCTGGGATGTGGTGCAGTTATCCATATAAACAATCAATAAATTGGGCAATAAATACAGGGTGCATAAGGTTGGAGGGACAGGCAGAGAAGGTTCCAAAGGGTGAGAGGCTACATGTCCCTGGGGAAAGAAGGGGTGCAGAGTTGAGCATGGACCCGAGCCTCATGACCCCGGTCCTCCCAGATCAACTTAGGACATGTGGAGCAGAGAGGGTTTCAGTCGAAAGGCATCGAGAAAAGAGAAGATGCCCCGCTTTCGAGGGGCAGCCCCTGCACCTCCAGCCCCTCCTTTGAGTAGGGGGAGAGGCAGGGGACCTCCTGGGGAGTCCACAGAGCTGGTCCGCTTGAGTCGCAGGCGGGCACGGGCCTGGGCACTCCAGACCTTGCCTCGAGATGCAGAAGCCACAAGACACTTCTGGTACTGAACCTAGGGAGAACGGGCGTGTGAGGACCCAGCTCTTTTCTGTCTCGGACGCCCCGAGGGCTTCTGCAGGGCAGGGGACTGGCCAAGGTTTCAGTCGGACATGAGGCTTGTAGTCCACCACATCTACAGCACTCCCAGGTAGCTCAAGATCAAAAAACACAACACGTGACATTTACTGAGCACTTAAGGGGGGCTGGACCCTGTGCTAAATGCTTTGTATAATGTAACAATCCAATTACTTATCAGGTGTTGTTATCCTCATTTTACAAATGAGGAAATTGAGACTTGCCCGAGGTCACCTAGCCAAAAAATGGTAGAATTGAGATTCAAATCTAGTTTGACTGCAGACCTGTGCTCCCAATCTCTCTCTCTCTCTCTCTCTCTCTCTCTCTCTCTCTCTCTCTCTCTCCCCCTCTCTCTCTCTCTCTCTCTCTCTCTCTCTCTCTCTCTCTCTCTCTCCATCTATCTCCATCTCCATCTCCATCTCTATCTCTCCATCTCTATCTCTCTCTCTCTATCTCCTCTCTCTTTCTCTGGAGGAGACTATCCCCTAGCAGAGTGGATTCCCTAGTCAAGGAGGTCTTCCACTCAAACTCCATTCCCCATGCAGCTGCCCCAATCTTCTCTCATTTGAATTCAGCAGGGTCCTCAACAGTCTTCCTTACTTCTTGTGTCTTCCAAATCTTTCACCTACATTATGGGGTCTTCCTAGTAATCTGCAAACCTGATTTCACTGTCCTGCTCAAAACTTTTCAATGGCTCAGAATGCTTCCGGGCAAAACGAACTCATCACCCTGATCTCTAAGTTCTTCCATGTCCTGGTTTCTGCCATTTTTTTCTGCCCCCATCTGTCACTCCATCCCACCGAGCACCCCAGATACATTAGACTCTCTCAGATACACTACCTCACATCTCTCACCTTCACAGCTGGAGTTCCCTGTACGTGGCACGCCTTCCGTCCTACTCCTCCTCACCTAGCTAACTTCTTCCTTAGATCTTCAACTCTCCACTTCCTATCTCCTCTTACAGGGAGACTTCTTGAGCCCCTGAACGGACCTTCTCCTCCGTTATCCTGTAGTGTACAACTTCTTTCTGGTCTGTCTCTGCTTCAACCTAAGGCCGGGCATGCCCTCTACACCACTGAATTACCAGGGTCAGGTACGGTTCCTACAGGCATTCATGTATTTGTGGAGTGAGTGAGTAAACTGAAGAGTGGGAGCATTCGATACTTAGATCCCCTCAGATATCAGGGAATAACCCAAATGAAAAAAAAAGGAAGACAATGCCCAACTGATAGGGCAGAGCTCCTACACAATTCCAGCCCAAGGTTGAAATGTATGCATGCAGACCCAGTGTTAGTCTGATAGTTTAAGAAAAACAGGAATAGCAATTATTGTGTGAAATGTCCTGGCAACTCATTAAAATTTATTCAAAAGAGCATAAGGGCCCAGATAAAATACTAAGAGTTATGGTCAACCCCGGTATCAAGGGTTTGTGATTTCTGGAAAGGCTGCCCATCTTGAGCCCCAATCACCAGTACAGAGCAGCAGCAGGGCCATCCCACCCACCATCCCACCCCTAACTCACCATGCAAGCAGCCTGCACAGCTTCGGAGAGTCCCCCCGCATGGGGCTGGCACCAGAAGGCCGCGCACTGGAAGCTCTGACGGCCCAGGTCAGCAATGAGGCCAAAAGTGTGTGGGTCGCGGCCGACACCAATAAAGGTCACGAGGCGCACTGGGCACTGCCATAGCGGCTCCTCCTCCGCATCAGCCTCCGCCTGCCCACCAGGCCTCGTCACTGGAGGGCTCGGCTCAGGCGGGCCCACTGAGCTCTTTCCAAGAGCAAGCAACGATACCCAGCATTCCCGCCCACCCTCCCACAGCCCCCAGCTTCCCCTTCTGGTACCTGAACAGGATGTGCAGTCATGAGGGAGTCAGACACACTGAGCGTGGCGAGGACCCAGGCGTCCCGGTCCCCGCGGGTGGTGAGGACGCCAATGGCCTCGTTCAGCACATCCATTCCTGCGGGGACAGACCCACTATGCTGTCACCCAGACACAAGAAGGGAGGACGCTGCAGGGGGTGTCTAGGCCCCTCTCACTGTCTTGGAATTCAGAGAGATGAAAAGAGAATGCCTGGGGCTGGGGCTTAGAATCCTGAGTTGGGAAAGGTAGTACATCCAGGCTACACAGGGCCATGGAAGCACGCTGAGCAACTGAGAGATCCCACCTCACCCACCTTCCCCTTGCCTGAGCAGCCCACCACCCCCTCCAGCCTGCTCAGTCCTCACCCATGGCTTTGGTGACCGGCAGGGTCCCCATATACAGTGCCTGGTACTTCTGAGCAGCTTGGCTCACCGCATCCAGCAGCTCCGCTGAAATACACACAGCATGTTGGCCTGCATGCTCTGTCCACCACCCCTCGCCCCACCCTTCCGAGAGCTGGAGCTAGCAGAAATAGAAGAAAAGACCATGGATGTGCCTCCAATTCAGGGCTTGGATTCCCGGAACCAGAAGTCCCTTATCTCCAAGGAAGTACTAAGTAACCAGGCCCCGTCCCATCTCTCACTAAAATAGTCTGTTGCTGCAACACAGGACCCCCTCCCATACCTTGCCTCGGCAGATCTTCAGGGGAGATGGTGTCTAGCGAGCAGCAAGGGGAATCACCACTGACCCCTACTCGCTCTGACAAGATCTGAAATAAAATGTAGCTAGCTTGAGGCACAGGGAGAAGGGAATGGAGGTAAGGGAATCAATACCACCCTGCCCCAACCACCCCGGCAGCTTCAGACCCAGCCCCGTCCCACTTCCCCTGCCCCACTCCTGGCCCTTACCTGAGCACAGAGCCCATGTAGGGCACTGGCAATGGCCTTGGCAGGGACATCACAGCGAAACACGTGGCACTTGAGCATACAGCTGTCTTTGTCGCCCGCCACAAAAGCGAAGTCCCTGGCAGGTCAGAGATGGGGCTGGGGTAGAGACTGGGTAGGGGCAAGTCTGCAGAGGCTAGAAAGTCGGGCAAGGGATATGGGAAGGATGGACAGGGAGGTCAGGGCACCTAGCTGTCACTCACCTGTCACTGTTCCGGAAGCATGTGGGAGCACAGGAGAGAATCAGCTCAGCCTCTCAGTCCCTGCTGAGCTGGGCCCACCCTCCCCAACCAGGGCTGCACAGGCAGGGAAAGCAGAGCTTGGATCCATGTCAGAGGATCTGTGTCCAAGGGTTTAAGGACAAGGGATCAGCATCAGTGGGGAGCATAGCCTGCAGTAGGTGGAAGGAGCAGCTTTCACTGGAGGGGATGTTGGGGTCCTCACCGGCCCTTGGAGCTGCCCACACCCCACACACGGATGTGCACCAGGGGCTGGCAGTGGATCAGGCTGTGGTCCAGGGGATTCACCAGGCTCATGGCATCCTTCTTCAGGATCATTAGCATGTTCTGGCCCTGCCAAGGACAGAGGGCAGCACAGAGCTCGGATGAAGGTGGTTGCCATGGGGAACAGACAATTCAGAGACAACCACCTCGACTGGACCCCGAGCTGAATCCTTGAAGGGCTGGCTAGCTCACCTCGCCCCAGGCACCGGCTGGGGGCTGGCTCCGGCTGCGGGTCTGGGCCAGCTGCTGGATGCAGTTACTGACTGCAATACTGCTCTTCCCTGGCACCAGGTCCTCTTCGGGTACCTCTACCCAGCCCAGAGAGCGGACTGCAAAGCACTGACAGGTTAGGAGAGAGGACAGAAGGGCCCACGTGAGTAGTGGCGGAGTAAGGGAAAAAGATGCCACAGGCTACACACATACAAACCCTCTGACACCCCCTCCTTCGATCATCTCTGCTCAGCCCAACCCCACCCCTCACCTCTCCCTTGGGGCCTCCCCCAATGCCATGGGCTGGCCCTCAGACCCAAGTCACTACCTTAGCCCCTGGTTCCATGCTCTGGATGTAGGATTCCTCACCATACCAGGACAGAGAGTTGCTGGAACAGAACAGAGCTGGTAAGGGACCCGTGAGGCACAGACTACTTGATAGACAAAAGATGTGGGATAAGACCCAGAACATAAAGTCCCAAATGTAAAACCAGAGCAGGGAAGGCCCAGGACATATTAAACAAATGTAACCTAAAGAGTATGACTTAGAATCTGAGGGGGAAATCAGGGCACAGGACATAGAATAAAAGTTGTAAACATCAAGCAGGGTTCAAAATGTGAACCAAACGGGGACAAGAGACCCGAGACCAGGACAGGAATCTCCATGGACAGGTCCCAGGACAGTGCCCAAGGTCTAGAACACGGTAAGTCAGGATGCAGAATGCGGAAAAGAACATGGCAAAAGACGAGCTTGGAACGAGACCAAAACTCAGAATACTGAATCAAAACATGAGTCAGAGTCCAGAACCTGGGCTGGAAAGCAGACTGTAGAACTAGCTGCATCTCGGCGGGCCATGGAACCCCAAGCCCTCCATTTGGCCCAGCCCGGCCGGGCCTATCCCTGTTACCTCCGGTCCAGTGAGCTCTCCAGGCTGGAGAAGGATCTCCCCTTGGGCGGCCGAAGTCCCCAAATCCCTTCCGAGCTCTGCAGAGAGGGGGCTAAGTCAGTGTAGCAGCAGACCAGGCCCACACATGGGCTCAGGCCCCCTCCTCACCCTCCACCTACCGTGCCTGGGTCCTCTGCATCGCCTGGCTCCCAGGTTGGGCGCTGCCACTGGGTGCTGCCGCTTGGTACGTGCCAATAGTAAGTACCTGCAGCATCGTGAATCTTTCTCCAGCCAGGGGGCAGGCCGGGCTCTCCCTCCAGACTCTGGTCCCCCCACAAGTCATCTACAGGAACACGGAATGAGGAGGGGAGACACAGGATTGGAGAAGGAGGGCATATCTGGGGGTTCAGAATAACACCTTATGCTGGAGGTCCAGGCAGACGGTTCAGGCTCCCGATCTTGGATATTATGCCAGTGCAAAGATCGGGGTTCATTTGTGCCCTAGTTCTCACCCCAGGACGTCCCCTCCTCCCTGTGTTTGAGCCTTGGGGTAGCCCTTCACCTTCCCCTTCCCCTCTCAGTTCCCGGTCCTCCCCCCGCTCGGACCCCTCCGTGCACACCGTCGCAGTTGACCAGAATTATGGCCAGCATGTAGTCCTTGCCCAGCATAGCCCCGGCCGCGTCCCCGCCGGCCTCGGCCGGCCCGCACTCTCAGCCCAGCTCGACCTCTGGAGCTGCTGCGCCGACAAGCCCAGCCTCTCTGCGCCGGAGCCAGCCGGGCCCGCGGACGCCACACGAACCCGGGGCGGGGCGGGGGCCGTCCCGGCGCTGAAATATGACCGGAGGAGCCGCGCCGCTCGCCGAGAGGGGGCGCACGTAACCGGCGTCAGGATCCCCGAGTGGATGCGCGCTTCGGCGTGGGGACGGGGGCGGGGCGCCGGGGCGGCGCACCAGCCGCGCCACACGCAACTGTGAGCTCATCGGGCGGCGGGTGACCCACCAGGCGAAAGTGCGCGGGGCCCTCAGCGCACCGGTGAGAGCAGCACGCCCAGGTCGTGTGCGCGCGCGCGCACGCGCATCTGAGACCCGAGAGGAGGAGTCACGTGGGAGTATCGGTGGGCACAAGGCCACCTGAGCTCGGCCGCCAAGACAGCGTCTCTAGCCGCGCTGGCGGGGCTCAGGGTTGCGCGTGGACCTGCGAACCAGGAGGTTACCCTCGGATTCCTGTCAGAGCACACGCCGGGGTTGCAGACTGGATCCCTAGTGTGGGGACCGTAGGAGGCAGCCAATCAGTAATTCTCTCTCATCATTGATGTCTCTGTCTCTCTCTTTGTCTCCGAAATAAATAAAGATATTTCTGTGTAGATTATTTTTAAAAATTTTTAAGAAATCGCCTCCAACCTTTCACACACACAAAAAAAAAATGTCCCGGAAGTGCTTCCGCCCTCAGTAATGATGGGCACTTGGTTTGAGGGGGCGGGGCTGCGCCTGCGCAACAAGCTCCACGAGGGAAGATGGCGGATGACAAGGTGAGTGACCGTGGGGTGCTCTACAGTCCGGGCGGTATTCACACGGTTTCAGTCCTGGAGAAAGACAACGCATGGTGGGGGTGCCCCTGGCTTTCTCTGGGGGTGGACTTTTGCTCACGCCGACGGCCTCAACAGTGTGGAGTAGATTGGCGGGGCACGAAAGAGGCAGACAGCTGAGGAACCCCCAGGTTTCCCCTCTGGGGTCCTTCTCAGTACCTGGTTCCTCACATCAAACCCTTCCACTCTCACACACTCCTCCCTGCCTCGTTCCCTAGCCCTGGGAATTTCCCCTCCCAGAGACACCTTGTTCCAAATTCACACTGACACACACTCATTCAAACACTCACTGGCACACACCGAAGCCCATACTTTATGAGTCAAAATCATCAGTTCCTTGACCCATACTCCTACTGACAGCCCTTTCCCGCCCCTCCCACCCTCCCGCGAGCATGCGTAGGCACACATTCCGTTTGGGGTGGCCTTGAGTGGAGAAGGGAGAGAAGTCCGGGCAGAAACCAGATTTACCTCCAAATTGTCCAAGGGAGCTGCCTTGGGCCATTATTTTACCTTTGATTTGAAAGCTCAGCACCACTCACACATTTACTAAGTACTTCTAGTCCCTGCATTAGGACTTGGGACTCAGTAGACAAGATAGACTGGTCTTTACTTCCACATAGCTTATAGTCGAGTCACTTAGCATTTTCCTGATGGATCTAATTGAAGGTCCCCTAGCTGCCCTTCCGCCTTCCCTGCACACTGCTTACTATATGAAGTTCTGTAAGGTACTGATGCACATCCCATCTGTCACTCCCTTCCTGGCCCCAGTGTGAATTCTGTCATTTTCAATGCCCTTTTTTCCTTTACCAATGTCATCTCAGGAAGGTGTTAATGTGAAGAGGTTTCATAGGCTCAACCCATCCCACCTCCTCCCCAGCCTCTGATAGACTTGAACAGGGAGGGGATGGGGCTAGGTCAGTCTGCTGGAGCCACTGTCTCCCTCTCCATAGGACTCTCTGCCCAAGCTTAAGGACCTGGCCTTTCTCAAGAACCAGCTAGAGCGCCTTCAGCAGCGTGTGGAAGACGAAGTAAGAAGTGGTGTGGGCCAGGTAACACTGCATCTGACGCCTCCCCCTTTAGGCTTCATTGTCCAATGTGCTTTTTGCATGGGTGGTAGAGATTTATTCAGCAAATGGTGGTTGTTTTTTTAATGAATTTTTTAAAAAATATATTTTATTGACTTTGTACAGAGAGGAAGGGAGAGAGATAGAGAGTTAGAAACATTGATGAGAGAGCGTCATCGATCAGCTGCCTCTTGCACACCCCCTACTGGGGATATGCCTGCAACCAAGGTACATGCCCTTGACCGGAATCGAACCCGGGACCCTTCAGTCCCCAAGCCGACGCTCTATCCATTGAGCCAAACCGGTTTCGGCAGCAAATGGTTATTGAGGGCCTGTTCTCTGTGACTTCAAGGAACGTTTCCCTGATCTGGGATCTTAAATAGGAGATAACTAGGTGAAGGGGAGGAGGGGAACATTCCAGGTAGATGGAAAGACATATTCAGTGTTCTTGTGGTGGGAAGTGGCGTGATGAACATGGAGGTGAAAGCAGTTCCGTTTGGCCGCAGTAGTGGGAGAGCATGCGAGGAAATGAGAAGCAAGCAGGGTCAGATTCTTCTGTGGCCTGGTGGCAGCGGGCTTCTGTGTTTGGAGCCTCCTGGCCCCAGGGTTCTGAGATTATGTGATCAGAACTCCTAGGTTATTTTTCTGCCTCCAGAACCTTGAGGAAATCTTGGGAGAGAATACTACAACTTTCCAGAGTGAGGAGGAGCAGGTGATGGGATGCTCTCAGCCCAGATTGAGTAGCTCCTGGTGAGAGAAGGGGAGAACCTACTGAGTTTCCTCCTGAATCTTCTTCCGCAGGATGGCTCGCTCATGTCCTCCCCATTCCTCAAAGGCTTCCTGGCTGGCTACGTGGTGGCCAAACTGAGGGCATCGGCGGTATTGGGCTTTGCTGTGGGCACCTGCACTGGCATTTATGCAGCTCAGGCATATGCTGTGCCCAATGTGGAGAAGACGATAAGGGACTACCTGCGGTCGCTGCGAAAAGGACCCGACTAGCTCTGGATCCTGTGGGGGAGGCAGGATGAGAAGCTGGGGCCTGCAGGTGGAGGCCTCTCGACCACAGACGCCATATCTGGCTTCCCTGGCTGTCGCCCAATTGCTGTCTCCAAGATTCCTGCCGCCTTCATCCTTGCTTCCCTTCCTGCAGAGGGTGGATATTGGCTCATCAGCCAGCACCCTCGATACCTCCTTCCCTCCCTGACCCCATGGGACTGATCCCAAGACTGTGGCTTCTGAGGCCACCAAACCCTTTCCCACCCTGGGTGTGGAGTTTGCAGCTGACGATGTGCCACGGCTCCTGCCCTCTGGGAGCCAATTCCATATCTTGTGTCACAGTCCTCACTGCCCCTTGTTAGTTACACAGGCCACCCAGGGTCTGGTGTGGGCATGAGCGTAGAGGACGGGGGAGTGCCAGGCCTGGGCCGTCCCAGCAAGGCCCGCTGGACCTTGATGCTACTCCTGTCCACTGCCATGTATGGTGCCCATGCACCATTGTTGGCACTGTGCCATGTGGATGGCCGAGTGCCCTTCCGACCCTCCTCAGCTGTGCTGCTGACTGAGCTGACCAAGTTACTGTTGTGCGCCTTCTCCCTCCTCGTAGGCTGGCAAGCATGGCCCCGGGAGGGCCCGCCCTGGCGCCAGGCTGCCCCCTTTGCACTACCAGCCTTGCTCTACGGCGCTAACAACAACCTGGTGATCTATCTTCAACGATACATGGACCCCAGCACCTACCAGGTCCTGAGCAATCTCAAGATTGGAAGCACGGCCCTGTTCTACTGCCTCTGCCTCCGGCGCCGCCTCTCTGCACGCCAGGGCTTAGCTCTGCTGCTGCTGATGGCAGCGGGGGCCTGCTACGCAGCTGGTGGCCTCCAGGACCCTGGGAACACCCTGCCTGGGTCCCCTCCAGCAGCCAAGGCTGGCCCCATGCCCCTGCATATCACTCCACTAGGACTGCTGCTCCTCGTCGTGTACTGCCTCATCTCGGGCTTGTCCTCCGTGTACACGGAGCTGCTCATGAAGCGACAGCGGCTGCCCCTGGCACTTCAGAACCTCTTCCTTTACACGTTCGGTGTGCTCCTGAACCTAGGGCTGCATGCAGGTGGCGGCCCCGGCCCAGGCCTCCTGGAGGGCTTCTCGGGATGGGCGGCGCTCGTGGTGCTCAGCCAGGCGCTAAATGGACTGCTCATGTCGGCTGTCATGAAGCACGGCAGCAGCATTACTCGCCTCTTTGTGGTGTCCTGCTCACTGGTGGTCAACGCCGTGCTCTCAGCGGCTCTGTTGCGGCTGCAGCTCCCAGCTGCCTTCTTCCTGGCCACCCTGCTCATTGGCCTGGCTGTGCACCTGTACTATGGTAGCCGCTAGCCCCTGACCACTCCCACCTGGACTCTTGACCTGGAGACTGGGCGTTACCATCAGAGCCACCTCCTAGCTCCCTTTCCCTCAGCAGCCCTGTACCAAGTGCCTTGTGAGAAATACTGGGGAAGTGACAGCAACCAGATGGTTGGATGAAGGTATACCCCTGAGAGACTTATGGAGTGGGTTTGGTTACAGAAACTGGAAACTCTTAAACATCACCCTCCCTCCCACCCCCAAGTTCTTCCAGACTAGGGAATTAAGGGAACATCACTACCTGGACCTGAGAAATGACCCCATCTCTGACAGAACAGGTTCCCTGTCTTGTCCAGCATAAATTCAGTTGTCCCCTTCCCCGCCTCCATCCTACAGGAAAGCCCAATTGCCAGATTCCACACCCATAACCTTGGCCATTCTGCTGAGCTCCGGTAAATCCAGGATCGCCTGGAGACAGTGCATCCCTGCTCCCTCCACAGTGTTGCTCTCCACACCTAGCCTTTGTTCTGGAAATCCCGAGGGGCTGGGGCATGGCTCATCTCAGGAAATGTTTCCTCTGGGCTCTGGCTTACACTCCTGATCTCTCTACTCACCCAGAGAGCCTTTTGAAGCCCAAGCCCCCTCTACAGCTCCTAGGAGTAACCGTTCTAGGTCCTGCCCCTGTCTAGCAGTGTCCCATTTCCCAACAGCCACAGAAGCTCTGCACGGAGTGACCTGGGACCAGCACAGGGAAACTTGTACAGCTCAATCAATGTCAGACTGCATAAGCAATAAAAAGGTCTTAATAAAGCGTTCCGGAGTGTAGGCGATTCCTACAATCAGTCATGATTGTCTTGTGTCTTCTGCGTTGCTTCGCTCCTCTCAAACAATTTCATTCCCCTGGTGCCCTCGTATCTTAATCCTGGGGTAACAAAGACTAAGAGAAAAGGCTGTTTTCTCCTTCCCTGTTGCCAAAAGCATAATTTCCTCTGAGGGTTCCATGGAGCCAAGACTGTTCTCCGTCACAGAACTTTTGAAACCCCTGAAGCATGAACCTTGGGTGCTGGGGAATTTGGAAGCATCTTGGGAATAGAAGACACTGTGCCCAACAGGACAAACTAGACTCTAGGCCAGAGAACTCTTCAGGACTAGAAGTGGTTAGGATTCTGGTTCCTCTGTCCCCTCACTGAGACTCCTGCCTGTCATCTGATCTCATGGCCGGAGGAATGTCGGGCCCTGCTCCCATGGAAGAATACCTGGTAAACCTGTTTTAAAAAGTTCCAGACGTATTGAAACAGAATCCTAGTGAGTGGGGTTAGAGAATCTTTTTTTTCCTCCTTTAAAAAATTTTTTTTAATTGATTTCAGAGAGGAAGGGAGAGGGAGAGAGATATAAACATCAATGATGAGAATCATTGATTGATCATCTGCATGCCCCACACTGGAGCTCGAACCTACAACTCGGGCATATGCCCTGACCGAGAATCGAACTGTGATCTCCTGGTTCATAGGTTGGTGCTCAACCACTGAGCCACACCAACCAGAATTTTTTTTTTTTCCAGCTTCCTAGGACTGGTGCACTGCAGTTTGTGAACACTGCTATCTGCTGGGTAGAGCTATAGCAAACTAGACCTGAATTTGAACACTGTCACTCACTAGCTGACTATCCTTGAGCATATATTTAACCTCTCCTAGCTTTAGTTGCCTTAGTTCAGAAATGGGATCAATGGTACCTTACAATTATTTTGGGCATTAGAAAAGGCTAAAGGAAATACTGGGTATTAGGTGTTTAAGCAGGAACTGGTACAATGAAACCTGGTTTGTGATGGTATTAATTATAATGAAGGTTAGCTTGGTTATTGTGTTCCAACTTCCTCTTCCTTCTTTAAGACCCTTAAGAATAAGGAGGGCCCTAGCAGGTTTGGCTTCTTGGTAGAGCATCACCCTTCGGACTAAAGGGTTCCAGGTTCGATTTCAGTCAAGGGTAGTCAGGGTTGCAGGCTTGGTCCCTGGCCCTGGTCAGGGCACACGCAGGAGGCAACCAATGGATGTGTCTCTCACATCGATGTTTCTCTCAATCTCCCTTCCATTCTCTAAAAATCAATGGAAAAATATTGTTGGGTGAGGATTAACAACAAAGAATAAGGAGAGAGGGTACTGGCTGGGTAGCTCCATTGATTAGAGAGTTGTCCTGATATGCAAAGATTGCAAGTTCAATCCCCGGTCGGGACACATACAAGAATCAACCATGAATGCATACATAAGTGGAACAACAAATCTCTGTTATCTCTGTTTCTCTTTCCCCACCCCACCCCATCCCCTTGCTTCATCTCTCTCTAATTAATCAGTAAATAAATTAAAAAGAAAGAAAAGGAGAGAGGAAACAGCTCCTGAAGGATTCCTGATCACCATATTTCTCCCCAAGGCAAGGATCCAGCATGACTGCCCCAGCCTAGTCTGCAACCTGCCGGAGCTCCTGGTTCTGTGCAGCCAGGTTTATGGTGTCTTGCAGGATGCCAGCCAGCAGGCTGCGGTGGTGGCGCTCCGTGGCCATGGCCTGCTCCTCCCACAGCTCCCGCCAGGCTGAGGAATACCTGTGCCCAGGTTCAGAGATGTCTGTCAGTTAGCCAGCATGGTAACCAGCTCAAGGCCTGTCCTCTGTCCCTACTAACCTGTAACACGTGGCATGTCCATGCTCGGGTGGCCTGCACATGCAGGTCATAGAGGGCTATCAGGTCCCGCTCGGCCCGAAGGCTCCAGCTGCAGCCTCAGCACTGCCTGCTCCCGGTGCCACTGCTGTCTCCTCTGGGGGGCCTTCAGGGATAACACAGTCAGCCTTTCGGATCCACATCGCCTTCACGGATTCAACCAACCCGGATTGGGGGGGATATATATATATGTTTTTATTGATTTCAGAAAGGAAGGGAGAGAGAGAAACATCAATGATGAGAGAGAATCATTGATCAGCTGCCTCCTGCACAACCCATACTGGGGATCAAGCCCACAACGCAGGCATGTGCCCTTGGCCAGAATCGAACCTGGGACCTCTCAGTCCACAGGCCGTTGCTCTATCCACTGAGCCAAACCAGCCAGGGCGAAAATATACATATTTTTAATGTTCCATTATTGCTGATGTTGTACTATGTAGTTAGGCCCACAGTGGCTGCGTGTCTGAGCTGAACATGTACAAAGTTTTTCTTTCTTTTTTTTTTTTTTTTTAAAGTTTTTCTTCTTGTCACTATTCCTTAAGCAATACAGTGTAATAACTACTTGCATAACATTTGCACTGTGTTAGGTATTATAAGTAATCTAAAGATGACTTAAAGTATACAGGAGGATATGTGTAGGTTGCATGCAAACACTGTGCCATTTTATATAAGGGATTTGAGCACCTGTGAGTTTTGGTATCCATGGAAGTCCTAGAACCAATCCTCCATGGATACCAAGGGACAACAACCAGGTGCGTGTCTGCACTTCATGTGTATGACCTCATTTTATCCAAGGACAACCCTATGAGGTAGTGTCATTTCATAGATTTGAAAACTGGATCAGAAGAGTGATTTAACGCCCAGTTCACATGGCCAGTGAGGGGCAGAGCTGAGATGACACACTTTTAATGATTCACCATCACCCTGGGGTAAAGTTGAAATCCAGAGACATGGCACATGCCTTGCCTCTGACCATGCACCTGCCAGGCTCCAGCCAGATGGACGGTTTGCAATACCGAGAACCCATTTTACCATTGTTTGGCTCTGGACCTTTCTTCATACAGTATTGTCCTCTCTTAGAATAAAAATATGTTTCTCCACCCCACACCCCATGCACATAAATGTTGTTTCTTAATTTGTTCCAACAAGTTATATTTACTGAGTGCCTCTATGTGATGAGCACAGACTGCCCCCGTGGGGCTCAGAGTCTAGTGAATCCCCCTGGCTGGTTTACTTGTCCTTTCATTCTCAGCTTGGATGCCAACATCTCTGATCCACTCCAGCCTGGGTCAGGTATACCTCTTTGTTCCCACACACCCCTTCTCCCCTCAAGAACTGTCTTAGCACCAAGAACTGTCTCATCTATCCCCCACAAAACCCTGAGGAGAGAGGGTATGTCTGTTGTGATTGACACTGGATCTCAGCACACCAGCATAGTGCCTGGCCCAATCAGAAGGCTCAAATCCCCTACATGACCCTCCTTACCTCTTCCCCAGCCACCAGGTCTCCTGCCTCCTCCCGTTCCAAATGCTTCAGTTCCTCTTGGATCTAAATCTGGGACTGTGCTTTCGGTCTCTGCCTCCGGGCCTGGGCCAGGAAGAACTGCAGGGCCACATTCAGGGCCTTTCGGGCCTACGTGGCATCAATCCAGGCTCAGCCAGAAGCCATGTATGTACACGGCATTGGGACACGGGGCCCAATATTTCCAACAGCATCCCATTGCCAGGGCTTCTCCCAGAACTACATCCCAGACTTTGCCCTGGCAGAGCCTGTAGTCTGGACAGAGATTTGGAGAAGGGAGGGGGGTGGTCACTTCTTTTGAGTCTCCCTCATCCATAACATGGAGCTGATTAGAGTTAGAGAGAGTATGAAATGGGATAAGGAACCCAAAGCTCCGAGCAGTGACAGGCACTACTCAGTAAATGGGAGCTCACATGCTTAATTCCAAGGCCCGAGGCTGTAAAAACAAGTTGTAAGTAATCATAAAAAGGAAAAAAGAAAAACTGGAAAAGCAGGACGGACGGCCTTCCAGCCACCTTGTGGCAAATCGTGGGAGAGAGCGCCCCCTTCTGCACAAGAGCGAGCATGCATCCCGAGAAGAGAAAGTACCATATTGAGTACTTTCGGCATTTGCACCTGCGCTGCCTTTGATTCTTCATCACTTCCCTTCGCTGAGCCTCAGTTTGCTCACCTGAAAATGGGGAGCAATGTCCTCCCTGCTTGAAATATTTCTGTGGTTTCCTTTAGACTTTCACGAAAAAGTCCAAGCATCTCAATAGATTTACAAAGCCCTGTATGACCTAGCCCCTATTTCCCTCTCCAGCCC